CCAAGAGCCCGAAAAGGACGAGTATGGCAATATCAAATGGTGCAAGATGCACGATCTTGTCCACGATCTTGCATGTTCAGTTTCGAAATCGGAAGGTTTCATGGATACGGATGGTCGCACTGCTGATGACAATGTTCAAGTTCGACACCTTGCGATAGAATCAATTGGAGAGGAATTACACATGGACATAAAAGAGAGAGAAAGTGATCTCCGCACATTGTTCTTGGGCAGCAGAGTACCACATGAAATTTTGCCGTACTTCAAGCATTTGCATTCTCTAAAGCTACGTGGTGCAAATATTAAAGAATTGCCAACATCAATTGGCAAGTTGAAACATTTGAGATATCTTGATGTGTCCGACAATTATGATCTCTATACTCTGCCCGAATCTATTTGCAAGCTCTACCTTTTGCAAACCTTGAGGATCCCAGGACAAAGGCTTCCTAGAGAACTGCAATTCTTGATTAGTTTAAGGCATCTCTATTTTAATTTTAATTATGTTGGCAATGATTTCGAGATGCCACCTAATATCGGAAGTTTATCTTGCCTTCAAACATTACCATTATTTTGTTTGAGTGACAAGGAAGGTTGTCGAATCGATGAGCTAGGAAAGTTGAAGAAATTAAAGGGCACACTACGAATATGGAATCTGGAATTGGTGAGCGGCAAAACAGAAGCTGAGCGTGCAGATATGGCTGGAAAGCTAGACATTTATGAGCTAGACTTCCTATGGAGTATTAGGATATGGTCAACGGATTCCACAGAAAGTAACATCAATGATGAGAGTGTACTTGAAGGGCTGCAACCTCATGAAAAGCTAAAAGGCCTAACGATTCAAGGATTCCGAGGTAAAAACTTTCCATTTTGGACTAAAAATATGGGAATATATAAAGGCATTGGAGGCCATCTGGTGATATTTGATAAATTGATCAAGATCGAAATTGGTTTTTGTTATGAATTAGAAGAAATCCCAATGCTCGGTCACCTACCACTCCTCGAGGATCTAAAGCTCGAATATCTGGAAAATGTAAGATCGATAAGACCGTCATTCTATGGAGAGTGTGATGTATCATTCCCGTCACTTAAACGTCTTACAATACAGGAAATGCGGAACCTAACAGAGTGGGAAGAAGCACAAACGAGCAGAAAGCAGGTATTTCCTTGCCTCGAATATTTGAAAATACATTGGTGTCATGAGTTAACTCATGTTCCCCACTTGCGGGGCAGCGGAGCTTCTCTGAAAGAGATGGAAATTGTGTTTTGTGATAAATTGGGGGAATTACCCTATGACCTAGGCAGCCTCCAGTCTCTTGAGAAATTGAAAATATATTGTAGAAATCTGCAATCAATTTCGTATCAAAATGGACAAAAAGGCCTCCATCCCCTTCGGAGCTTGGAAATTGGTGGTTGCTATGAGTTGAGCAACCTTCCAAATGAAATGCTAGAGTGTAGTCAGTCTCTACAACGTCTATCTGTGCGTGGCTGCTCGAATCTCACTTCGCTTCCTGAAATGAGTGGGATGGGATCCCTACAGAATCTAATTGTTACTGGATGCAAAAATCTCACTTCGTTTCCTAAATTGAGTGGGATTGGATGCCTTAACAGCTTAATAGAATTGGTGATTGGGAAATTCTCAAATTCAATGCAGTTCAGTTCATTTCAAGATTTTCTCGACGGTGTCGAACACATGAAATCCCTTGAGAAATTAGAGTTAATAGGTCGAGCAGATTGGATCTCCCTACCAGATCAGCTTCAACATCTAACTTCGCTAAAAGAATTGACAATATCGGATTTTGGAATAGAAGAATTGCCCAATTGGTTTGGGAATTTGTCATCTCTTGAACAACTAAATTTATGTGGGTGTAAAAAGCTTAGGCATCTAGAGTTGACTGGTTGCTGTAATCTCACATCACTTCCTGAAATGAGTGGGATGGGATCTCTACAACATCTATCTGTTACGGATTGCCCGAATCTCACTTCGTTTCCTAAATTGAGTGGGATTGGATACCTTAATAGCTTAACAAAATTGGAGATTCGGGGATTCTCAAAATTCAATTTATCTCAAGATTTTCTCGACGGTTTCAAACGCATAAAATCCCTCGAGAAATTAATGTTATTTGGCAAATTCAATCTAATTGGCGAAGCGGTTTGTGTCTCTTTACCATATCAGCTTCAACATCTCACTTCCTTAAAAGAATTGGAAATATGTAGTTTTGGAATGGAAGCATTGCCTGATTGGTTTGGGAATTTGTCATCTCTTGAAGTATTAGAGCTATGGTTATGTAAAAAGCTTAGGCATCTGCCCTCTAAAGAAGCTATGCAACGACTCACCAAATTAAAACAATTAACTATTTCGTCATGTCCGTTGTTGGAAGACAGATGCAAGGCAGAAAGCGGTCCTGATTCTGAGTGGCCAAAAATTTGTCATATTCCTGATGTACGAGTCCTGTGATGAAGTTTGTCGTTCTAGTAAGTATATTTAAGGTTTGAATATTGACTCAGTTTTCGTTAATTTTGGTTATTGTAGTTACAGGGTGGGTTTAATTAATATCTGTTACTAATAGATAAAGAGTCTGTCCTATAATTTTGTCAAATAACAAAGATTTCTCGGTTAAATGACTTTATTTTTCAATTAATTATATTGTCATTATTTTTTATTTTAATTTTTTAAACTTTTGGGTGGGTTAGAGCATATCCAAGAGACTCTCTATTTTTAAAGAGCACATTCTATCATTTGAAGCACATCTAGAGAGTTAAAATTTTGAAATACTCCGACAAGCTCTTCATATTTAACATTTAATTTTACTACTCCTAAAAAATATTAATTGTTTTTCTTTATCTTTGATTTTAACTAGCTTTTCTTTAAATTATTTTATTTTTTTCCTACATTGAAAATTGAAACACTTTGAATGCATTTAATTATAGAGAGTGAGACCCACTTTCTAAATTAAAATGTTAATTTAAAGAGTATCTTGGAGCATGATTTTATATTCGACTCTTTAAAATGGAGATGCTCTTAGTGTGCTAAAATATTTACTGTTATTAATTGCATAAATTTTATAGGACTTTTTGATGAAAAGCACCCACCTGACAACAATTCGTTTGATCAATTCCTAATTCTATTTGAATATTCGTCAACTTTACTTTTGTGAGTATTCTTATCATTACATAAATATTAGCATGATTGGAACTTTATTAGGAGTATACAAAAAGAAAGAAGCCGAAGATAAACACAAACAATTTACAATTGTCATTGTACACTTCAACTTAGTAATTATAGGTATTAGATTTGTCACATGTTCGAAATGAAAGTATGTGATTTGTCCAATTTAGATCAAAGGGTTAAACTATATATCTTTAGAAACTTGAAGTATCTATACTGTAAATTAATTAAAAGAAAAATTAACTTTAAAAAGGGTTTCAATGATTGCAGCAACACAAACTAATTAGAACACGAGTATCAATTTGTCAAGTCTTAAAGTTTGAGGATGTGATTTGCCTTTGGACATTATTGAGAGATTGAGCAAGGTGAAAATTCGACCAAAGAATATCGCGAACCTTGTATTCAGAAACTTTTGGAGTGGCTACTTATTTATATTTTTAACTTGGGAAAACAATTGAGTACGATTTGTTGTGTCAGTTGCTAAGGGAGAGGTTCTCATTTTCCTGTAAATATATTTCAGCTATTGACTCATTTTTCATTTATTTTGGTTAGTTACAAAGTGCGTTTAATTAATTATTGTTACTAGTAAATAAAGAGTCTATCAAGATTGTCCCGTGATTCTGTGGCACAAAGATTTTTTAGTTAAATATTGTTGCAAGTATTATTCAATTAAATGACATTATTTTTCATTAATTCTATTTATTAATTATCTCCCTTTTTCTCCTTTAGGTTAGTTAGTATGATTAAATATTTTCTATTATAAATTTCTTCAAAAAGATTATGTATTTAGCATAAATTATTGTTATTAGGCATTGACGGAGGGTCGCATCAAACCCTACAAGAATGTGAGTCGATACTCATTCCCCTAGCAATTCCTAATTGTGTTCCACTTTACTCTCGTAAGTATTGTATTATTATCATGACAAAAACATTATCATGATTTGAACTATCATTAATATCTCGGAGCATCCAAAAATGGGGATTAGATAAGCATTGCACACTTCAATTTAGCTAAGGCATTTGTCAAATGTTAGAGGAAAGAAAGCGATTTCCTATGTAACTTTGGAGTACTTGATTTGTCCGCTCTAGAAAGTATGGCACAACTATCTTTAGAATCTGAGTACATATGTAAGGTATAAATTAATTAGGTGAAAAATAAACTTTCAATAATAATAGCAACACAAACTAATTTATTTATTTTCTAGTGAAATTTACAGGTGCCATGTGGGTATCAATTTGTCAAATATAAAAGATAAAGGACGTGACTTGCGTTTGATGTTTAGTGGAAATTGAGCCGAATGAAACTTCAACCAAGCAAGGAAACTCTTGAAGTTGCTAATATGGAAATTGAACCGAATGAAACTTCAACCAAACATGGAAACTCTTGAAGTTGCTAATTATTTATATTTTCAGCTTGTGAAAATAGTCAATGAAACAATTCTGTTTCTGTACCTTAGTATCTAATTTTTGAAAAGGTTCCTTGAGAGCCCATCACAACAAATATTCGTAAAAAAAACCTATTACTCGACAACCCAACACGTTCATAAGATGATTCCAGAGGAGGAAAGAAACAATGATTTCCACATCCATACAAGGCGCAAAATGTTAAATAAAGAACAGAATAGACGCCCAATATATGCACAATTAAACAAGGCCTTCCGATTCAAAATGGGGAAGAAGTCAGTGCAGAAAATATATGCTCTCCCCCAATAAATGCAGCAGCACATCTAAGGCCATCAAAAGCACACATGCATGAAGTAATTTTCAAGTGAAGCCAGCATGACCTCAAAGGTTAAAAAAAAACCCACTTGCAGCCAAATCATAATTTGGTAATGAAATGAGATGTTCACAACTGGTTATCAGTATCAGCATGCTCAAATATAGGAAGAGGCAAAGCATCTTACCGGCGAACTTTACCGAAAAACACACACTCAGCGAGAAGGCTCCACTGTGTTACATGAAATGTATTAAAAAAATTAAGATCCAGAATATTATACACCAACCTATTTACAGGAAATTCAAATATAATTGCAAGTTAACCATTGAAGTTGGTTCAACTTAATTATAAATCTAGAAAAGTTGCAATAAGAGGAAGCACCTCCAATTAACAACGCTAAGATAGCCTATGGGACCTTCTTTTCTAGAAAGAACTACGATCCTGGAACTCCATCCAGATAACAGGGTCAATACTTAAAAATTATACTTTCTTCCAAAGTCACGGTCGCCTATCTAACCAGAAGTTAAACTATGACGAATAATGACTCTTGATCAACTCCTTGTACTGTTAAGATATTGGACTTTCCTTGTACTGAATCAGGTATAATACTTTTCATTATTTTGTTTACTCAATATTCATGTTAAATGTTTTGCAGTTCTCCTACAATCGAGCGGTTGTCCAGTGGACTATTCCAAGATGTTATCATAACAAACACCATTCCAGTAGCAGAGAAGAACTATTTTCCCCAGCTTACAATCTTATCCATGGCAAACCTCTTGGGCATATCTTCCAGGCTCACCTATGGCAAATGATCAGGTAGTCGGCATGTTGCGATCAAGCAGCTGGAGCCCTTTGAGAATGTTTCTATTGGAGCTCAGAGCAAGGCAGTCAAGAGAAGGATACAACAGGAGCTCGAAATTCTTGCTAGTTTAAGGCATTGGAATTTGATGAGTTTGAGGGCTTACATTCGTGAATTCGATAGGTATTCTTTGATTTATGATTATGCCCCAACTGGTAGTCTTGAAGATGCATTGAGAAGGGTGAGGAAAAATCAATTGAAACTTAATTGGGAATTACTGCATTGAATTGCAGTTGGCATATATAGTTAATGGGCTGCAGTGTCTTCATTTTACTTGTGATCCAAGAAGATTGCATTTTTCTTTAGGTGGTGATGTAGTGGGAATGCCGTGAAGTTCTTACATATTTATTTTAGATGGTGATGTATTACATTTTAATGTTTGTATGGATTCAAAAATTTGTAATGAAATTATCAATTTTTATGCAATTTTAAAATTTGTTAGAAATGAGTATTTTTTTATTTTCCACTCGATTTACATAAATTGCAAGAAAAAATGTAATATTACCTACGGGAACGTTTAGAAAACATTGCCAAAGAAACCTTGCGAAAATGTATATGACAACATTTTTTAAACGTTGTCGTAGACCTTTTAAACGTTGCCAATCTTTCTACCATACGGCAACACCTCGATTTGTAATACACGTTCCAACATTGCAACAGGTCTATGGCAACGTTTTTATGTTATTTTTGTTGTAGTGTAAGTTGAAAATTAATTTTCAATTTAATCACAAACAATTAGGCGTTAATTTTGGTAATTCATCTTACTATCTATTATTTATACTTTTAACTTATGCACATCATTTACCATTTAAAAATTCATTAAATACAATAAAATAAGGAGGACACTTATTGAGAAGATGAAATACATCTAAGTTCAAGTTAAAGGTAGGGCGAGATAAAATAAAAACATATATTGTATAGTTAAATCTAAACTTATTAAGACTACAAATTAGTAAATTTAAACTAATAGGGATGTCAATTATCTAGGGCTTCCAAGGCCCCCTCCACTACAAAAATATAATTAGTCACAATAGTGATAGTTATATTAATTAAGCAGTAAATATAGCATTGATACATAATCTAGATAAACATGATAATTGCAGAATGAATCACGTACTGTTACAATGGGTTCCTAACCCTACATGATGAGGGTGCTATAAATACGATCTGCATGGCTCCAAAAAGTATCATTGCAAATTACTCGGCTAGGCAAGCTTAGCCTCGTTTCGTGAGGTGATGGAAAATGTCTTGCATGCTAGCTAGCTAGCTCGACTGGCGAGCCAACTTGTGCGAGCCATTTGGATTTTGTAGCTCGACTCATTTGTGGAATGAGGCAAGCCAATGAGTGGCTCGTCCCACTTGACACCTCGACACCATAGCCACTACCATCCTTCCCACCACCTAATGACAATAGCGTTGCCATATAACTGAAGCGATCAATTCTTTCCCAATTACTTTCTCTCTTCGGCTTCCCATTTCAGGTTTTATTGAATTAGCGAAGAATTTGTGATTGTTGTTTTTCTAAAGATTCATCATACGAGATTTTTACCGTTTAAAATCTACAACGAGAAAGTTGAATTTGAGGATATTTCAGTGGTGCTTTGATCTTAATTCTTCATAAAATTGGATGAAACACTCTACGCTCTGCCTTTGCACAGTGGTGAATTTTTCAGGCTTAGTGAATCTTATTAATGTGTTCTTTTATTTATAGTAACTGATTTTATTGTTGGTGGTGGAGTGGTCTTAGGTGAAATGGGTTGGTGGCGAGGACGACGATGGTGGGTTTTTGGGGTGGTTTGTGATGTTGGTGGCCATATGTTGGAAGTGGGTATATGTTTGATTGTCTCCATTACTTCCCAAATCACAATTTATGCTAACATGAATGGTGGTAGTCGGGGTGGCAGATGGTGATTTTTGTGGTGGTTGTGAGGCAAGGTAAAGTTTTTATTTTTTTTTTTGAGTCTGGGCTTATGTTGTGGCCTGTGGGCCTTTTTTACCTTAACTGACCAGGCCCAAAAGAAAACATAACAGTGATGGCCGGAGCCAAGGATGAAGCTTGAAAACTGAAGTTCAGGCGTCGCGCATGGAGATGGAGGAAAATTTGTAAGATGACAGTATTTTTTTCCTTTTTAATTAATTCCGGGCCTCCTTTTTTATATAAAAATAAGAAAGGCCCAGACGCCCAGCCCACTGGATGTGGTTTTTCTTTTTTTGGTTTTTGTTCTTTTCAACTTTTTATTTTTTTATTTATCATTTATAATTTTTGATGTATGTTATGACCGTGAAAGTGTGAGTTATTAGTTATGATTTATTATATTTTATGATTTATGACTTTTGAGTGTAGATTTATATATAGGCGTATGATAATATTTCACAATACAAGGTTTTTATGACTTAGTGCTGATAATGGTTTGTTGTACATGTGTGTGTGTTTGCTTTATTGGAATTTTTCTGTTGGAGTATTGTTGTTTTTGTGCTCGCACAAATTATAATTATTGGATGAGACTTTAAATGATTTGAGTCTTTTAAACAAAACAGTCAATAAAGTTTAAAACTTG